AGAACATATTCTACAGGTTGTCGGAGACAATCCAGATATCAGCACACTTCAAGTGGCCCTTGCATGTCATACATCTCATAAGACCACGTAGAAGGTACTTCAAGAACAGCTCCTGTATCCGTATCATTTGCAATATGTGCAAGGTCTTTTGCCCTCTGATCACCCACCATGGCAGAACTTTTGCCAATGGTTTATTTCACAAACTGCCAATCCATTGTTTGTCTCTTCAGTCTTGTTTATGTATGAGGCAACATTTGGAAGAAATGGAATAAGATATTTACACAGACAATATTTGTGGGTGGATTGGAATCCCCCATGGTACAATACAAGCTAGACACCAGCATCAATTTATGATTAATATGTGGGCTGGAATTGTAGGTGACTGTGTGATAGGTCTGTATGTTCTCCCAGCTTATCTTACAGGCACTGTATACAGGTGCTTAATTTCAAACACACTTCCAGACCTTTTATAGGATGTACCCCTGCTAATATAAAGACACATGTGGTTCATGCATGATGGGGCTCCAGTATATTTTAGTCACATTGTTCATGTTTGCATCTGTTTGTTAATTGTATCTTGGATTGTATATTTAACAGTGTCTACCATAAACTTTAGACTTAATAACATCTGATATCTACCATGAAAGATGAATCGATAAGGGAGAACTGGTTCTATGGCCTTCATTTTCTTCCAATCTAAATCCTTTGGATCTTATCTCTGAGGCCACCTAAAACAATTGGTTTATGCAACAGACATTAATAATGCAGAAACACTTTATCAATGTGTCATGGAGCCCTGCAAAACCATTCAACACTCTGTTGGATTATTTGAAAGTGTCTACCAGTCAATGATCCAATGAGTGCATGCATATGTAGAAGCAAGCAATTTTGAAGATTTGTTATGAGTTGCAGTGTTGAGGTACAACAATGGCCTTTTGGACATGGACATTTTATCTTGGTTTGGTATCAGAAACCAGCCCTCAATGTTTGTAAAAGTATTTTTGCATTTTATCTTGGATTATACATTTAACAGTATCTACCATAAACTTTAAACTGAATGACTCAAAATCAAGGATTTGTGGACACATGTTTATATGGACTTTTGGCATTGTTTTGGTGTGAGGAAGCTGCCTCCAAAGTTTGTAAAAGTATTTTTGACATACACTGTATGTATGCAAAGAATTAATAGATTTTATTTTTAATCTGACATTTTTATTCAAACATTAAAATGTTAGAATATAAATAAAATAAATTAATTCTTTAGAAATTGCTTTGATTACATTTGGGATGTGAAACTGAGCAGATATATATGGCTTTTAAGAAAAAATATCTTAGTGAACAGGTATGCTTTCCTTAAAATGAAAGTGGAGACTTTGATGTACTGTACTGTGATGCTGTTAGTAGCTGAAGAGTAAAACACACCAGATCAAACAGGGGTTAATCCGGGAAAGTGAAATACAGATTCAATTGGTGTCAGAGTGCACACTTTCTCTATTGAGATTTCTTGAATATGCATGCTGATAAATGTAATACACACTGTTTAATGTAAAAATTAAAATTGTCAGATCTATTTCAAATATGATTATCCACTATAAAAACATTTGAAGTAAATAAGCAATAAAATACAGACACACACATATATATATCCGAATGTAATGAGAAGGAAAATAATATATAAATTCTAACATTCATAGCATTAATTCAAAAGATTGCTCAATACCGATAGTAGAGCAATAATTATTTAGTATAATTTTTTCATATAGACAAAAACAATTTACTTTTGACAAAGATGCAACTTCGCTTTAGTGTATTCAGTTGCACGTCAACTGGTGAGAACCAAAATGGTTACATATAAGGTGAATGCCAAAATGGTTATGTATATTTTATTACATATATATATATATATATATATATATATATATATATATATATATATATATATATAATATCATTAAAAAACAATTGACAAAATACTGCAGTTAAATTTTTTATTTAACTTTTCTTGTATTTTTATAATGTTTTTCTTTTCTGGACATAAAGTATATAGAAATTGTCCAAATGTTCTGCATGCGTGATCCTTATGTGAGTATGTGTCAGTGCTTTTGGCTATTCTTTTAGCCATTATCAAGGATGATTTTTACTTTTAACTGAATGTATCATATTTTTTGTGTGTCTAGAATTAAATGAATGTTTTTATTTTCCAAACACAATCAGGACATTGCAGCCATGTTCATAGTTGATGTTATTGAGTCTTGGCTTTTTTTCTTTTTTTATTGATAATACTTGCATTGTTTTAGCATTTTTTACATGAGGATGAAGTTATATTTGTATCGTCTGAGTATGTTGCAGATGAGGTTTGGTAGGTCTCTATGTGTGTTTAAATGAGACCTAATTGAGCTATGGTCAGAGAGATATAACATGAGTCCTCTTGTTAGGTATGTAGTGGTATTTCCAATATAATATTCATGAATGTGGTTTGATCATGAATGCAGTTCTTTGAGGGAATTCATAAATAATATTGGTTCTCTGTAATACCCACTTAATCTATACCTCTAATGCTGTCCCCCTCTGGTTTATGGCCATATCATGTTGAAACATAGGTTCCCATATCATCACTGAAGTTAAGCAATGCCAAGCCTGGTCAGAACCTAAATAGATGATCCCATGTAAGCTTAGATGTGCAGATGATATAATAATGGCCCAAAATTGTTAAGTACAAATAACCTTGGTAAAGGTATGAATCCACTTCTTCTCCTCCTAGCTATGGCTTAACTAGTAAGACTTGTATCACTAAATCATTATTATCTCAAAAAAATTCTTACAATCTTATTTTGTGACCTTAAATGACCTGCAAAAGTTTGATAAATTGTAGAAAATGAATGAATCAATTAATCTGTAACTCTCTATACTGTGTGGCTGTTGGACATTGCATGTCATTATAAAAAATACTGCAGATATCTCTGAAAAGGTAGTTGGCCTTAAAAGATAATCATGCATATATGAATCCATATTTATGAATTTAAGGATCATTGAACAGTATAGGTATTTGTATTGAGAAAGTATGCACTTAGCATATTAAAGCAATAATATATTGTAGGTATAACATTAAATGATTTCCAAACATGAGTCAGTAATTTTAGTAGACAAAAGTAATTACACTCAAAGTATTATGTGGCACATGAATACATGCACTTAAATATCTATACAGTTATGACTAATGAGACACATAATGAGGAAAGAAGGCTTGGAGAATCTAACATTCATAGGGCATATATTAGGCAAAAGATGAAAGGAGTAATTTATTTTATCTAGTTTGAGTGAATAGATGGCAAAACAATGTTACAGATAATGATAATATTAGCCATTTTTTTACAAGGAACATTTATCATTCATTGACCAAGGTGCTAGTGCTACTTGAGTAATGCTTTTCTTCACTTCCTGGTTATTGGTCAGAGTTTAAAGTGTAGTATCTGTTCTCTTCATATTGTTCATCAAGCATCCAATGCTGCTTTTAGTTGAAATTTATAAAATCTTTCTATGAAAATGATTTTTCAGGAAAATACATTTCTCAAGTCCAGTCTGTTATCACCCTTTCCAGCACTGATGGGAGTTTCCTTCCTAACCTTTTGCTGAAAGCAATGAGGAAATATTTTGATTATGTCCTTATGTTCTATCCATTTTAGTTGTCGCTTGCTGTTGAAAGTCCTCAACTGATATAGTTTCTGTTATTTGGTACAGTTCTTTTTTGTGATTATGTCACACCAGTCCATGAGATTCAAAGGAGGGTGTTCCTTGTAAAGATCTATATGCATAATTTGCTCAAACCCATTTTTAACCATTGATCTGAAAAAGTGGTTGCATATGGTTGACACTTTATATATTAATGTTTACTGCCATTCATAATACCCGTAAGGGCCACAAAATGAAGAGGAGCAAGAGATACTTAAAGTGACAAAAGATAGGAAGTTGTGGAGAGCCATGATCGTCCACATCCTTACAGGATATGGCATGTGAAAAAAATAGAAGATAAATATTGACTAATACTGAGTAGCTCATAGAGCAAAATAAAAACAAACTAAGCTGAAGAATTCAATACTTAAAAACAATGTGAAATGATATAAATAAACTGAAAAAAAAAATGCCACGAAACATACACATGCAATTGCTTAGATGCATTTACACAATAACAAATTTCCAATTACAAGCACTCACATGTACACTTCATCTGCATTGGGTTTCACCAAAAAGCTCAATTTTTGTGTCACCACAATCTAAACCCTAACCCCAAAACCACGTGCCAATCATCTGTCACAGCTTTTGGTAATCAAAGAATTTGGAACGTTTTGGGTTTCTTTGTAAGCTTTTTCCAAGTTATAATTAGGAGCTCATTAACAATGCACAATATATCACTTTTGGCCAACTTTGCTAGTGCCGTTTGCCTTGTGACACGTGTGAATTCTTTGCAGAGTGCCATTGACCTGTCCCTCAACACAGTTGCCACGTCCAGACAAAAGATGTTGGCCAATAAGCATTGCAGGCAATATGAGATGTATGCTCTTTTTCAAATTTAGCAATACATAAATAGGAACTGAATAACGAGAAATATTTGTGAAAAACTAAAGAGAGATGATGACACATTGTGCCAGCAAGATCTGTGATGGCCAACAGCGGTAGATATTTTTCCACAAAAGAAAGACTAAGACTTTACTAATTGTAATGTCTCTTTAAAAATATTTTTTTTATTTAATGTTTTATTCTTTTTCATATATTATTACTCCCTTTGCTCTTTTTCCATACTTATGTAATAATTTTCTTTTCTTTCCTTTATTTCAGTCCCTCTCATTCTTTCATTATTACTTTATACAGTCTTCAGTTCATTTATCCATTTTTCATCTCATTAATTTTCTTTTTTGTTTTTTCCTCCATTTTGTTTGTTTCTCCTTCATTTCTTTTCTTGCAATGCCTTTCTTTCTTCATTTATTTTCTCCCCTTCTCTTTTGATGCTTATTTTTCATTCATATATTTTTTTCAACTTGACTGATCAGTTTTTCATTTCTTTTCAATTTTTTCTTCATATTATTTTCATTCATTTATTCTTTCTAGTTTTCTCTATCATCTTTTCCATTTTCACTACTTTTTTCTTTTTCATTCTTTACACTTTTTCCTTTAACAAATTGTTTACTTTGTATCATTATGCTTCTCATTCATTTTCCTCTATTTTTCCTGCTTTCTCTTAAGTTCTTTCGCATATCTTCTGATTTTCCATTTCTCCTTCCAGCTTGCCTTTCTGATTTTTATCTTAGATCTTTTTCTTATTTTATTATTTGCTACTTTTTATATATTCATTCTTACTTTTAAAATTACTCTCCATTGTCTATTTTCTTTCATTTATATTTTATTTACCTCCAGACTACTATTTTTCCCCTATTCTTTTTCATTTTAATTTGCTTAATAAAATTATCTCTTGCTTTCTTTATATCTAAACAATATTTTTTACCTTTCTTTAAAAAAATCTTTTCTTTCTTTCAAAGTATTTTTTGTCTTTTATTTTTTTAGAGTGTTTTGTTTCTTTCCTCCTTCTGTCACAATATTTCCAGTCCTTTATTTCACAATATTTTTTTCATCTAAGGTATTTTCTTTCATTTAAGGTATTTCTTTATTTTAAGGGATTTTCTTTTTTCCTTCCTTCACAACATTTTCAGTCCTTCATTTCACAATATTTTTTCTTTCTTTCTTTTAAAGTGTTTTCTTTTATCTAAGGTATTTTCCTTTTTTAAGGAAGCTTCTTTCTTCCATTCTTTTTTCCTTCCGTCACAATATTTTCAGTCTTTTGTTTCACAATACTTTTCTTTCTTTTTTTAAGGTATTTTCTTTATTTTAAGGTATTTTCTTTCTTTCTTCACAATATTTTCCCTCTTTATTTATTTCACAACATTTTCTTTTCTTTATTTGAATTTATTTTCTTTCATTTTAGTGCATTTACTTCCTTTCTTTCCTTCTTCCATTCTTTCTTTCACATTATTTTCTTTCTTTTCATTTTTTAAGTATGTCTTTTTTAAGGCATTTTCTTTATTATTTCTTTGCAATATTTTCTATATTCCTTTATTTCACAGTATTTTCTTTCAGTTCTTTCTTTGAGTTTCTTTTCAGGTATTGACTTTCTTTCTTCCCTTCTCTTTCTCTGGTGCAGGGACCAGAAATGAAATTTATGTTCTTTTCTTTTTAAGGAATTTTTTCCCCTCCAAGGATACAGCTTGGAGGTTGGCATTCTTTCTTTCTGTTTCTTTCAGAAATGGCTGTCTTATAATTTAATTGCAAAAGAGAGACGGTCGGGGGGGGGGATAATCCACTTCTTACTTTGCTTGTCCACAGGAACTGAGTGATGCAGAAGGAACAGGACGCCAAGAGGGGGAGTTACACCCCCCTTGCCATTCCTTGTAGAGATCTCTGCCATTTCCTAACATCGTCATCAAATAGAAAATATTGGAAAAGCACTTTCTCTTCTAATGCAAGCAATGAAAAATAGAATTAGAAGTAGAACAGGCCATTCCAGAATATATACATGCATATATGAGAGGGTGCTGAAAAGCTTTTTAACTGAACTATAAAGCCCTTTCTCCCCAAATTTTGATGTGTGGTCATTTGGTTAGCTTTTGGTAAGTGTGTCAGTGTGAACTTGTCATCATCCCTTATATATACATATGTATACATGATGGTATGATCTGGTGTAAAATTATATATATTCCATGTGTGCATGTGAGTATATATATATATATATATACATCCACACACTACCTCCAGAATTAGCATGGAATGAACTTTATAGAAGATTGAAAAAACGCAAAAAAGATTTCTTAGAGTCATTGAAAAAAGAATGGAATCATTTATCAAAATTATACTTTAAGAAAACTTTTGCAATGAATGCCAAAATGTTGTGCTGCAGTAGTCAAGGCTGAAGGAGGATATTTTGATGAGAGCAAAATTCAGTCATAAAAAGCTTTTTTGTCATAATAAAATTTCTAATAAAAAGTCATGTCTCACTTTTTCTAACGATGTATAATAATTTTCTCTTGTACAAAACAACTACTTTTTGAGCCAATTTAAAAAATTACAAGGGGTAATACACACACACATATATATATATATATATATATATATATATATATATATATATGAATGATAAAAATATAGTTTTGAGGTATTTTATATTTATGCTCGGTATCAGGGATAGGGCATATGTAATTTCTAAATAATTAATGGATTTATTTTTAATCCATAATTTTTCTTACTTCAAACATTATTATAATGGATACTCATATTTGAAATAGAAGCACCTTCTGTTTTAAACAGTGTCTATTGTTGCATCTATTGACCTGTCCATTCAAGATTCCTTCTGAAGAGTACAATAGACACAGTGTTTAAAATAAAAAGGGGGTGTCTATTTCAAATTTGATTATCTACTTTAATAACATTTGAAGTAATAAAAATGTCAGGTTAAAAATAAATCTATTAATTCTTCAGAAATTACCTTTCGGATATGAGATTTTGTAGATATGGTCTTTTGAGGAAAGCAAGTCTGCTTTCCTTAAAAAGAGAAAAAAAGACCCTTACTAAAAACTGTACCAAAGTAGCAAATCATGCTGGATCAAATGGTGGTTTCTCATATAAAGGGAGATGCTGGTTCAATCCATGCTAGAGAGCACATTTTCTTAATTAAGACCAAGAATGGAGTATTGCTACTATATCTATGCTGGGGCTTCCCAGTCCTCACCATACAGCCTCCAGTTTTCAAAAGTGATTATGCTGTCTTGTGGGTGATGAATTATTCTCCACCCTGCAACTTTATCACACAGATGCTTCTCATGACTCCAAAGCTATTGCTATGACAGATGTTCAGACATTATGTTTCTTTAATTTCGCTCATTCCTGTCAAACTGGGAATTGAAGGTCATTCTCAATGGATTCTCCTTCAGTTCCTATCCTACGAATGCAGGTGTTCCTCAAGGCTCCATCCTAGGCCCCAACTCTATTCCTTATCTACATAAATGACCTTCCTTATGCCATAAATTCCCAAGTTGGCATCTGTGCGGATGACACCACAATTTACTCCTGCCTCAAAAACAAATCTAGTGTCACTGACAAAACTAACGTGGCTGTGCATCTTGAAAAGGACCTCCAATCGGTTGTAAACTAGGGCAGGAATTGACTGGTCAACTTTAATGCCTCAAAAACAAAACTGCACTCTACTAATCACCACAGAGATCCTTCCCTGTCCTTCATTAGAATGTCTGACACTCAACTTCTCAAGAGCACCTCTCTGCAGCTGCTCAGTCTCACCTTGTCTGCTGAATTGAGATGGAACAAATACATTGAGTCAATTGCTTCGTCCACCGCAAGGAAAGTTGGCTCCCTGTGCCTCGCCAGGAAATTTTTCTCCCCGGAATCAATCCTTCAGATCTACAAATCAACAATTCGCCCTTGCATGGAGTATTGCTGCCATATATGGTCTGGAGCCCCTTCTTTTTGCCTCGGGGTTTTTGATTAGCTCCAGAGGCGGATATGCAATATGATTGGCCCTGTTCTGGCATCTCATCTACAGTCGCACTTTCACAGACGCGCCGTCGCCTCTCTCTGTCTTTTTTACAAATACTTTCATGGTAATAGCTCCAAGGAGCTGCATTTGCTGGTTCCCAGACTTCATGAATTCAAGTGCCCTATGAGGCTGGCATCCCACTCTCACCCTTTCACTGTTGAAACTACTAAATGTAGCCATCTCTTCTATTCCAATAGCTTCATGTCTCGCACCTCTCACCTGTGGAACTCCCTTCCCTATTCCAGTTTCCCTGAGAGCTATAATCTCCAACTATTCAAATGTAATGTCAATCAACATCTCCAGTTGCCTTGATCTATCCACTATCCTTTTCCTCTATCACTCCTATCTGATCTTGCTCCAAATCTTCTGCAACCCCTTGTGTCCTAGTGGCTTCTCACTTTGCTTGGGGTGAAATGCTTAAAAAAAAAAGTTCATACCTTGATAGCTAGTAAATGTCATAACATGTCCATGATGGCAAATCATACTGTTTCCAATTGTATTCCTTTGGTAAAGATTAAATTCCATTTAGAAAACTTCTTCCCAAGGTTTTTTGTGATGTCAACGAACACTCATTGCCACTTTTGTAATGCCAAAAAATACTCATTGTCACTTTCGTAATACTCATTGTAGTTGAGATTTTGCAATTGCAGATATAACTATAGTACACTGTTGAACAATACTGGTGTCAGATGCCTTCAAATGGCACTCACACTAATAGTACTTGCTAGACAAGTAACACATATAGTGATCTGAATAAAGAAATAGTATAGAGAATAGGGTAGAGAATATCAGCCTGTTTAGCAATAGAGGATAATTTAGAAATGGTGATCATATATTAATAGAGGATAGAATAGAAATAGCGATCCAAATAGTAATAGAGGATAGACTAGTAATGGCGATCACATGACTTCCTACTTATGCATTTCCTCTATGGTCATGTGGTCTTCTTAATTTAATAATGGGATCACCTGTGTTTGCTCACTGATGATCTATGTTCAAACTCAAGTCTTGGTGGCAATACTTTATTCCTCTATAACAGATTTACTTTGTGAAACAAATGTTTGAGAGAGATGCTTCCCTGACTTAATGTCCTTTTCTCAACTTCCTATTTTTGTGTATTTACCAAATTTATTTTAGATGAGATAGAATATATTTGATCTCTACTCTATCTCATATACTTGAATAAATTATTATTTTACATGTTAATAGGGACTTATTCATCAAACTTTCAGTTTTAGAGTTTGTTAACCTTTCAGCTTTTACATTACATTACTTACAACAGCTTTTATTTCATTCCAGAGATCGTCTGTGCTCGAATATTGTTTTCTTTTCTCATATACACATTTTCTATTGATGGATCACAAAATTTCTATTGGATTAATATCTGGTGATGCTCAGAGTAATATATTAGTGTATTTGTAAATGGGATCTTTTGGGGAAAGTGGACAATATTCAGCATGAAAGGAGAATTGTCATGTCTGAATACACTGTTTAGCTTCTTGGTTTTGACCTGTACCAATGAAAAAAAAAATAGAATAATTCTCTGCATTTATCTTGATACTGTCATCAGCTTTCGAGGGACCTATAATCTTACTGCCTGCAATACACTGTTTAACTTCAAGCTTCTTGGTTATGACCTTTACTATTGAAATCTATCTCAGCAAAGAAATCAGAGTAATTCTCTGTGTTTATCCTGACATCATAATCAACTTTGAAGAGACCTATGTTTTTTCCTGCTTACAGTATGAGTTCAGAACATACTGCCACCAACAAAACATAAGGCTGGTTGAATATTTCCATGATAGACCAAACTTCAAGCCCAGTCACCAGGCACATTCAGTGTTTTTATGCATTTATCACTAAAGATTAATGTTGAGAAATCAGTTTTCATATACTTCTTCACCCAACTTAGATGTTTCTTTTTGTGATGTTTACTTAATGGAGCAAGTTTGGTTGTTTTCTTGTCTTCAGTGGCTTAAAGCTATATCATGTTGAAATGCTGGTTCTTGTACAATCACCAAAGTTAAGCAACATCGAGTCCAGTCAATATCTACATGGGTGACTGCTTGGGAATAACAGATGCTATATGCATGGATTTATGGGTGATACAATAGATAACGGCTTGGAGTTGGAAATCAGAAAGTTGAGTTCCAATTCTAGTCAGGTTTGTTATATTTCCTTATGCACAAATACCCTTAGGAAAGGTATGGCTACATATCTTCTCTCCCCAGCTATGGATTAATTAGTAGTATCAATAATTCATTATTATCTCTAAAAAGATTTGTACAATCTAAAAATATTTTCTGGCTTTAAACAACCTGCAAACCTGAAACACTGTATCTTGTACAATTAATGAAGTTAAGCAACATTGAGCCTTGTCAACATCTAGATGGGCAACTACTTGGGAATAACAGGTGCTATATGCTTGGATGTACAGGTAATGCAATGGAAAACAGCTTGGAGTTGGAAATCAGAGAGTCAAGTTTCAATTCCAGTCAGATTTGTTATATTCCCTCATGTGCAAATACTCTCTCTTAGGAAAGGTATGAATCTACTTCTTTCCTCCCCAGCTATGGATTAATTAGTAGGACTTGTATCAGTAAATCATTATTATCTCTCCCTCAAAATTTTACAATCTAAAAATATTTTCTAACTTTAAATAACCTGCAGAGCTGAAACACTGGTTCTCATACAATCACTGAAGTTAAGCAATGTTGAGACTAGCCACTACCTAGATAGGTGACTGCTTGGGAATGCCATGTGCTGTAAGCTTGGATGCCTGGGTGATACAATGGATAATGGCTCAGAGTTGGAAATTGAAGAGCTGAGTCCCAATTCTAGTTTGTTATATTCCCCTATGTGCAAATACCCTTGGGAAAGGTACAAATCCACCACTTCTCCCCACCCAGCTGTTGGTTAATTCCTAGGTCTTGTATCAGTAAATCATTCTTTTCTTTTTATATGCCATGTCCTTTCAGGACGTAGGCAATCATGGCTCTCCACCTCCCTCTATCCCTTGCAGCTCTCAACAAGTTCCTTTCTTCTGCTTCCTCCCCCAGACCACGTTCTCTTATCCACTTGCTTAATTCCACCAGGTATGTTATGTATTGTTTTCCCTTGTCTCTCTCTCCCACTATTTGACCCGTGAGTATCAGATTCTCCAGGCCCTCCTCCCTCATTATGTGCCCCATAACCTTCAGCTGCCTCTTCCTGATATTAAGTATAAGCTCTCTCCTTGTTTGCAACATATCCTTAGCATCCTTCTGTAGAACCATGTCTCTGTCACCTTAAGTCTCTTTTTCATCTTTGAAGAAATTGTTCCTTATTTGTTGCTGTAAAGAAGGACAGATGTCACATAACAGTTCAGTAATTTTTTCTTTGTTACCAAAGATATCCTCTTGTCTCAAAGTACTCTGCCCAGCTTACCTCTAAAAGGTTTGTATAATCTAAAAATACTTTCTGGCATTAAATAACTTGCAAAAGGTTGATAAGCCATAAAAAAGTAAATAAATCAATCTAATTTTGTCTTTAGCCAATTTTTTAAATGCTATTTATCTTTGTTTACATTCACAATGTTTTCAAATGTTTTCTTGCTGCTCAATTCAGTATTCTGGCTTTTAATTTTTCTTAAATTTATTTCCAATGCATTCTTAAAGTTAATAGTCATTCCTGTCTTGCTAGTGTTTTCATTTATTTTATTATTCATTGTTCAGTATACTCACAACTTCCCAAGTTGTGTTCACATCACTCAATAACTTTGCAAACTCTAGTTTCTTTTTTGATCTGGTCTTTCATATAATTTTATAAATCTGAAATTAAACAATAACTATATTATTATGTATATTTTTTTGCAATAACCAACCCTCAATCTTTATAATAAAATCTGACTATAGAAAATCAGTTATTGGAAATATTTCTAATAAAAACAGACATAATAAATATTTCTAGTAAAATGAGACACTGAAATTCATGTCATAAGATAATAATATGATAATAATAGAAATACATATGTATCATAAAAAATTCATATGTATCTGAAAATTTTACCAACTTTGCTTGGTTAATATAAATTTCATTATGAAAACATTGACTTTCATAATAGAATATGACAAAGTTTACAAAATTACTACCACCATCTTTAGACTATTTTGTACACTATTTTAATGGAGTATATTAGTCAGGCATAGTGGAGGCATGGTGGAGTAATAGATGGCAGCTTGGATTCAGAAATCGGAGAGCTGGGTTTGAATTCCAGTCGAATCCATTACATTCACTTATGTGCTAATAACCTTGGGAAAGCTATGAATCCTCTTCATCTCCCGCCAGCTATGTGTAAATAGCAGGATAAACTGGAGCCTTGGATAGCAACTGGTCTACCACAGAAAGAAATGACAACCTACTGCAGGAAAAAAATATCTGCCTCATTAGCCATGTATCGAAAGATATATGATTGCTTCAGTGTGTATTGCACATAACTAACTAGTTTCAGTCAGTCAGCTAAGTGTCATGCACAACACATTCTTGGGCGATCATGTCTCTTTTGATTCATAACTGACTAAGCTAAAGATTTTCCTGCAGTAACAACAAGATAAAATTTCATGAATTCATGAAATTTTATGCTCTTTATATGTTTATATAAAGAAATCCATTTGAATAGGAATGGAAAATAAAATATATTGCCATAAATAATATTTTGGAAATTCATTGTTATTGCTTTGTTTTAGGAGTTGTCTTTATATTTTGATATGTCCCAGAAAAGGGATATATTTGAACGAAGTAGCTAAGTGGTTTTGGCTACTATAACCAAGTAGAATATGGTAGCAGTAATTGACTAGTACATGTTGTAGTCGCAGGTGAGAAGTGTAGATCAATAGCGTAGTCCAATGGGCATCGTTATAGACTTAGCTCTCAGACAAAGGCTTTTGACTCTCCTACACATCCGTCGGTATTTACGACAGACACCAGCCAATCATATTCCAGTGAGGAGGAACATAGGTGTATGCATATTCCATTATATCATATTTCAGTAAGAAAATTCAGTGCATGCTTAGTTTTGTCTTGTTGTCTCCGGAATAATCTGTGTTCTTTCTGAGGAGCCCCAGTATGATGTAGATAAAAAGATTTAAGTGGCCCTATAAACATGTATGTAAAGGAGTTCCGGATAGAAAGAATGAAATTGAAATCATATATACAGATGAGAGCAGGCAGAATATTTCTCTGTTGACCAAAAAGCCTTTAAAAAGTAAAAAAAAATATAAAATGTTTGATCATGTGGTCCAATTTTGAGAAGTAAGTTGGGCTGAGAACTTTTCAGTATTTACTCATAGGTATATGAGTAAATTTCCACTCTGTGGGCAATAATGTCTCTCCACAATTTTCTATTAAACAAAGTTGTTAGTATTTGCCTATATATAAGAAAATTGTGTCCTGAAGATGACAATTTGAAATTGTCAAAAATGCTTGGCATATATGTCTTCCATCTAACAACAACTCGAATATAGGGATCTTATTATTCAAGGAATTGATATTAAGTTAATGTCTCATTAAGTTCTTTTAGCAAAGTGATTTCACCATTAATCACGTTAATATTGGTATTTAATTCTTTGTATAAATTGTTTCTTTATGAAATAAAATATAAGCTGCACAGTCTAATATATATATATATATATATATATATATATATATATATATGCACACACATATATAATTACATACATCTATGACTTTTTAAGTATGTTGCATATCTATTTCTATTGATTGATGATTCTAACCTAGTTTCATGATTAAAGTGCTAATGTTCTAACCATTTAAAAAATGTACAAATTATCAAGGAGGTGACATGGTGATATCAGCCTGGAGGGACCCAAGACTTGTAAGAGAAATTGTGTAGGCAAGAAATATGTGAAATCTTTCAATATTTTTGTTAACACAAAGTCACAAGTCATCGTCACTGAGAGTGTGAGAGTACTGGCCTTATTCAAAACTGTTGATTATGCCATATTATGCATTCTCTCACAGAAACTGTAACTGTCGGTGTTGAAGAAAGGTGTGTCTTAGCAGGTGACTATTTCAGTAATTAGTGAGCCAACCCTCCAAGTGGCAGGGCAAGCTCAGAAAAGAATAACAAGTCATTACTTGATATATTGTCAAATAATCTAAATTTAAAAACAAGACCAAAAGAATTCTATGCAATTTTTTGAGTTGCCATTATTTTGTTTTTGTGGAAATGTTGAACAGTGGCAGAAAGGTAATGTCCTGTTCCAGCAGTATAATGCCTGCCCATATGATACCCAGGCCACTACACAAATAATTTGTCTCAAAAACATAGCAGATGGTCATACTTGGAAACAAGCAAGCAGCCATTTACTGTTTTTTTTTACATTGATTGTGATATGGCTGAAGAAAATAGATCATTTTCAAAATAGTTTTTGGACTAAAAATAAATAGTTCAGATATAGTTAAAAATGCTTTTAAATTTACACGCAAATATATTTTTCAAATATTTACAGATATGAGTAAATCCTATCTGTTTTATTTCTGTGTTTGCCTCTTTTTCCATCAATTTTATAAAAAGATATTTCAACTATATGCCAATCAATAAACAGACAGATATCAATAGATAGGTAAGTATGTAAATTATCTTCATATCGGTATTGATTGTATAAAATCAATAACCTAAATAAAACAGCACTTCATAATTTATTTTGTTCTTTCTCCTTTGCTATCTTTTCTGCTCAGACTATAATAAATAAAGAAGCTTGTTTTTTTTTTTTTAAAAAAAAAGAAGCAATTTCTTCAGATTACAATTCAGCCCTGAAGCCATAAAAGTCCTTTCGTCTTCAAATTGAGAGAATTAGTTTTCAAGGAAATTAAATCTAGAAGAAATAAGTAATGATAATGAAATTTGAAACAGTTTTTTCTTTTATTTTTATGTATGAATTTTAATACCATAATTTAATCAATAATTTCAATTTTTACTCGTTCTTGTTACTTCAAAATTTTACTACTTAAAAGATATTAAGTTTCAAAAAACTTTTATTACTTCTCTTGACGTAATAATGACTTTTATTCAATTTTGTATTGACTTGCATTCAAAAAATTAAATTTAAAGCAAAAAATAGACTGCACACAGACACACACATGCACATTAACTGACTGTGATGCCTTTTGTTTTTAATTCTAGAATGAAATATGGAAGCTTATGTGGGAAATAAATTATTATGCATAGATATTTTAGAACATCACTCTTTCTTCCGAGGTACCATAAACTGACCAAAATGACAAGCAGTTTATCAGAAAGAGATAAAGGGTGTTGCAGAAATAGCTCCCAGTAATACATTCCACATAATGGTAAAGCATTAGTGGCAATGGTGTTTTCATCTAGCTAATGTCTATGTGGGAGGTATATGTGGGAAGTATTTCTGCCACACCCTAGAGTTGAAATTTCTAGGACATATAATGAGTTAGGAAGGCTTAGAGAAGTTAATATTCACATTGGGAAACAGTGAAATACCCACTTAATAAATTTATAACAATAGATAGCAGAGTAGAGACAGAGTGATGGTAAATGGACAGCAGTTGCTGAGAGCTACAAAAGGCAGGAAGCTGTGGACAGCCATCTTTGAATACATCCCGAAGGACACCAGCAGAAAAAAGAAAGAAGTAAATTTGTGTTTATGATTTTGAAAATCCCTATTTCAAGGATTTATGTTTTCAAAATCTGTTATGTTACCTTTTTGTATACTTATGTTGGAATCTTTGAGAAAAGGA